GTTCCTGCATGGGCTACTGAGACAACATGAAATTGCCATTAATGAACTAAGTAAAAAAACCGCCTAACTGATGAACTAATAAACTTGTGTTCTGAAAGTTCTTCACTCTTTGGAATGATAAGAAAACACTCATGGCTTTAAAGTCAGCCAACCAATTGTCTAAAAGATCCAACAGATCAAAAATATTTTTCAATTTTGGAAAACTAACATTTCAGAAAAAAAATAAGATGTTAAAACACAATTGCTATCATCTATGCTTGTTCTTGAAAAATATAGGAGAGAAGAGAGGTTTTTACCAGGATTTGGAAAATATTATTTATTTCTGTAACAGGATAACAATATATTTTGGATGGAGGGGACTTCTGGAGGAAATTATGTTTCTGAGCAATAGTGCTGGCTTGTTGAAAGTCATTATAGAAAGCATAGAAAGCATATTGGTAATTTAAACTTACCATAATTTTCTACCTGGTTTCTCAAATAGTTCTGTGGATTTAGAACCAATATTTGATGGGAGGGAAGAATTCCCAACATCAAAATCCTAGGATTTGTCAGGACACTAGAAAAGAAGCTTTGTCACTGCAAAATAACTTCCTTAGCAGGGTATAATAGAGAATGTAAAACAGCAGGTCACCTCCATTGTTGTTGTGTGGTTCCGTGAAGTTCTATTCATCAACTGAAACACAACTTAAATAATTCAGGTTAGCTTTGATACGCTGGGGAACCATACAGTGGTCAGCTTCTTTGGAGCAAAGCTGTCTTGCAGTCTGCGGAGCTTGTGATCTATGCAGCCTCCACATTCAAGCAAGGTTGAAGGGACTGCCGTTGAAGCATGGATCACCCCAGCTCTGTCCATACACAGTCTTCTACTGCAGTCTTCTACTGCAGTAAAAAACAAGTAAGCACTGAATCATTAACTGACAAAGGAAAGATGAAACAGCAGGGCACTGAGATACTAGAGATAAAACCTTCTTGGCGTAGGCACAAAATTAGCTGCTTAATGTAGTTGTGAGATAATAGATATCCATGAAGAGCTGGCCATTTGTCAGTTTACTTGATTAAAAGAGAAGTGATAATAAGAAATTTTAATTCTGTTTACTAAAAGTAACTGACATTTATTTGGGGCCAGGAACTATATAAAGCACTTATGTTAACTGTTTCATTTAATCCGCTGGACAATCCCATGACATAGGTATCTTCCTCACTACAGAAAACAATTGAGGCAAAGAGTTTAACTTGTTTAAAATCTCACAGATATTAAGTGATGAAGCTGGAATTTTAAAAGCCAGGAATTCTAACTTCAGAAACCATGTTCTTAATATTTTCTATCCTTTCATAGACAGCTTACCCTTTTCCTCACAGAATTTAGCTTTTTCCTTTCTTTATTGTTACTTCACCAGGAGGCCATCTTCTTTAATAACTTCTTTAAAAGTCTAGTAGATAACTGTAACTTAAAATGCTATGTATGTCATCATGCAATCTTAAGAGTAGAATGACTTTACCATTTTAAAAGTCCTTTGAATAATCTGACAAAAATAACCTACCCGGGCTTCCCCAGTGGTTGAGAGTCCACCTGCCGATGCAGGGGACGCGGGTTCGTGCCCCGGTCCGGGATGATCCCACATGCCACGGAGCGGCTGGGCCCATGAGCCATGACCACTGAGCCTGCGCATCCGGAGCCTGTGCTCTGCAGCGGGAGAGGCCACAACGGTGAGAGGCCCGCGTACCGCAAAAATAAATAAAAAAATAAAAAAAAAAAAAAACCTACCCTATTCTTTAATGTAACAGATTGATTAGAAAAGAAGTTCTACTTAAGACAAATTAGAAAAATGTAGAACTGAGCTCAGTTTTCTTTTCCACTCTGAAAGACACAACAGATAATGTTTACTTCTGGATAAAACTGTACAACCATTAACAATCCAAATCTTCCATTCTCAGTTGGATCCTCAGAGCTGAGCATCCAAACTTCTACTTTTTCCCCCTTTTCGCTCAATTGCAAATCTAAGCCATTTCTACATTCCATGGGACTTAATTCCCATTCCTCCATCTCTTCAGACAATCTTGCTTCATATGTCACAGAAGAAAGTGAGGCCACCAGGCCTGAAATCCACGAATTCTCTGCCTCTAGACCAACAAATTTATCCACATGTGCATCCATCCTTTCAATCCTCCTTCAGAAGATAAAGTCTCCTCTCCTTCTGGTCCAAATCAAATTCTCTGTGCTCTTGGTTCCACCCTCTTCCATCTCTTCAAGGAAGTTGAACTATTAATTTTCCATTCTATCTCTTGTGTTGTGGTAGATTTTTGTCAAATACATTGCTGCCATGCCCACAGCCTCTTATAACAGAAGGGAAACCACCCAGTCTTTGCAAAGGGGCAGCTATGTTTTGTACCATACAAATTCTTGTGTACTAACTGATTGGACAAGGTGGGCATCTATTTCAAAGGGCAGCCAATTTACAGGCTGGTAGAGAATTAATACATGGCCTGGTATGAAAACTTTTCAAAGGTGCTCACTGCTTTAAGAATGAGAGACCCATTTTAAGTGAGATGAGTGGATTTTTATTATTAGAAAAGTTATGAAATGATCTTTGATGCATGTCTTGCCTGTGAAAGTCATTCACTTTAAAGTGGAAGTAAGTTTACACTGTATGGTTGCTAGAGACCTAAGCATCTCAGTACAGAAATAATAACAACATTGAACATTATGATAAAAATATCACTCATAGCAGCCTATTATACTGGGTTTAATCATCTCTGATTCTCACAAAAATCCTGCAATGTAGGTTCTAATATGCCTATTTTCAGGTAAGGAAACCAAGGCTCAGAGAACTTGGGTAGGTTTCCGAGGTTAATGTGTCACTGAGCTGTAGTCTGGATCCAAAGCTCTTTGTCCTTTTTATGCTGCTTTTTCCTAGCCAAAAACATGAAGGCATTGATAAATTTCATCATTTGTCATCTTGGCTTGACACCAAAGATGATTAGAGTTGGTTTACATAAGTATATAACCAGCATAAATTAATGAGTAATTAGAGGAAGAAAAATAAAATCAAGCTAGGGGCAAATTTAGTGTTTTGTAAATAGTTAGGCAGGGTCTCTAAAGATTGTTTCATTAGGAAGGAGTGATGCCATTAGGAAGACTTAGTAGCTCCTGAGGACTCAAAAGATTGGGCATGAGAAGTGATCATTATTAAATACATATACTAAGTAAAATATAGTGAGATGCATCTAGCTCAAATGCTTGCTGAATGAACTTAGAAATATTACCAAGCACCTCAGCCTATAAAATATAAGGTTAGGAAGTCCATAAAGCGGGGTGGGAGGGACAAATTGGGAGACTGGGATTGACATATACATACTACTACACTGTATATTGTGTATATATAATATATAACTAATAAGGACCTATTGTATAGCACAGGGAACTCTAGCCAGTACTCTAATGGCCTATATGGGGAAAAAAAATCTAAAAGAGTGGATATATGTATATGTATAACTGCATCACTGTGCTGTACACCTGAAACTAAAACAACATTGTACATCAACTCTACTCCAATAAAAATTTTTTAAAAAAGGAAGTTCATACAGAGTATTCAATAAATATTAATTTGAGCAAAGTTCTGTGACAATATCACAGACCATGACTATTCAGGCATTGACATTCCACAAAATGGAATACAAAAAAATAACATATTCTAAAGATGGTTACCTGCCACAGAACAGCTTAAATTTTGCAGCATTCAAGTCGGAATCTATTCTTGATTTTACACCATTTTCTTCACTGGGTTAACATTAAGAGGTATACCTCTCTGGACCACAGGGGCACTTTTAAGGAGAAAAGGAGTAAAGATGGAGATGGACTTACCAAGAGCAATTTAATGGTGTCTTTGAAGAAAAAGCTGCACTTATAAAAACATGGCCCAAACTTCCTTCAATCTGGATCACCGTATGACTTCTTTAATACTTACTGTTTTCCCAGCTGGCATATGAACTGGGGTTCAAGTGGAGAAACCAAGGTATTCTTCAGATTTATGATTTGGGGGGTGAGATTCTCAGCAATAACCTACGAAAAAACGTTGGGGTTGATGTGAATATGTCATTACGTGGGAAGAGAGTTTGGACTCGGAGCGACGGTAAATACACATCTTGTTTGCTTCACACAGATCAGCTCATACTTATAATGGAGTAAACCTGTTGGGCCACGATTCAATGCGCCCGAGTTAGTAGGATTGCTGTCTCTACTGTCTAAGCCCTCGGTATCAACAAGCACAGTTCTTCTGGGGTGCTGTCCCCCTGATGTCAGCTTTGCTGGTCCAGGTCAAAATACTACCAAAAGCTCAGGAATTAAATTTCCTGGAGAACTGAGCCTCTTTCCAGGTTCGCCTCTGCCTTGCTGTATAGGGATTAATTTCAAACTCTAATGGGGGAGTAAACCTTGGGCTCCAGGAGGCATGCTGGGCCCGGGCCCTGGGGTTTGCATTTTCAGTCACCGCCTCAGGTGGATTTGATGCAGCTGGTTCAAAATACATTTTGAAAAACAGAGTAGAATGGGGTATGGATGATGATACAGAAGTCAGCTCTTAAAAGGTGTCCTGTTTTGGCAGCTTTGGAGACTTAAGGCTGAGTCCGGGCTTAATCACACCCTAGAGAATTTAAACAGCGGGGGAGTCTTTGAGTCAGTCCCTGAGGCGCCGCCAGCTACGAGGAAACTCGCCCACGCTCGGGGCGGGGCGGGGGCAGGCGACGCCGGCTCCACCTAAGCCACAGGTTTCCGAAGCGCCTCGAGGATTTCTACCGGCTTCACCCGAGCCACAGGGCCACTGGGATCCTCGGAGCGTCCAGCCCGCATTCTCCGTGCTCCCACAGCAGGGACCGTTTCCTCACAGCCTGAGAGCTGGGTAGGCGAAGTGATTCCCGCGTGGGCATCGGCCGGAAGCACCCTCCGGCCCACCTCCTGCCCACCGGATCCGGAAGCCGTCGAGCGAGCCGGTATGTTGCCCTCCGCGGGCCGCAGTGCATCATGCTCCGTGGCCCTTGCCGCCTCTGCAGGGTCTCCGTGGCACCCGTCGCGGCCCTGGCTGTGGCGCTGGTCTCGTCGCTCTCTCGCTGCTCCCTCCTGGAGCCGGAGGACCGCGTGGTCTCGCCGCTCAGCCCCTACTTCGGCACCAAGACTCGCTACGAGGATGCCAACCCCGGGCTGCTGCCGGACCCCGAGGCGCCACGGCGGGACCCACAGCTGCTGGAGACCTGCACCCCGGTACAGCTGGTCGCCCTCATCCGCCACGGCACCCGCTACCCGACCACCAAACAAATCCGGAAGCTGCGGCAGCTGCACGGACTGCTGCAGGCCCGCGGTCCCGGGGATGACCGGATCCGCGCTGCCGGCGGCGGCGACCTGGGCGCTGCGCTGGCCAACTGGCCGCTGTGGTACGCGGACTGGATGGACGGGCAGCTGGTGGAGAAGGGGCGGCAGGACATGCGACAGCTGGCCCTGCGCCTGGCCTCCCTTTTCCCGGTCCTCTTCAGCCGAGAAAACTGCGGCCGCCTGCAGCTAGTCACCAGCTCCAAGCACCGCTGCGTGGACAGCGGCGCCGCCTTCCTGCAGGGACTGTGGCAGCACTACCACCCTGGGTTACCGCCGCCCGACGTCGCAGGTGACCACCCCGGGCCGCCCAGCCAGTGCCCTGCCTCGGTCCTCCCCCAGATCCCGGACTTCCCCGATCCCAGCCGCTCCTTCTGTCCCCAGCCCCCCATCCCATGGAATGTTCAGGACTTGGCTCTCTCCCTTATCCTCGTACATAATGTTCATTTATTCATTCGTCAGGGATGAGTTTGGCACCTTCTACGTGCAGGACGCTGTGGTAGACGTTGGGGGATCCAGTAGGAAGGGAGACAGGCCAGGGCAGTTTTTGATCACCCATTCCCAAAATGAATTTCTCCCTCTGAGCACCAACCCCTCTCCCCTTCCTCCATCTCTGGCGACTAGGTCTACAGTTCGGCGCACTTTTTTTTTTTAAATCTAGGACTTTTCTTCCTCAGGCTTTACTTCTGATACTAATACTATTTGGGTTTTGTTTTTGTTTTTGTTTTTTTTCATTTAACAGCTTTTTCAGATATTAATTCTAGACCTACAACCTATTTTAGGAAGTACTCTCAAACTTTCTTTACTGCTCTGCTTTTTTCTCTGTTTTGATTTTGCATGTACTATAGAGTTACTCTCCTTTTCGCTGCGGCCCATGGTCATGGCACAGTACTTTACTAACTTATTCCACTACCGATACTTCTGCAAAATTTGAGAGACCGTCTAGTGGAGCTCTTTTTTTTTTTTTTTGGCCATACGCGGGCCTCTCACTGCTGTGGCCTCTCCCGCTGCGGAGCACAGGCTCCGGACGCGCAGGCTCAGCGGCCCAGCCGCTCCGCGGCATGTGGGATCCTCCCAGACCGGGGCACGAACCCGTGTCTCCTGCATCGGCAGGTGGACTCTCAACCACTGCGCCACGAGGGAAGCCCATAGTGGAGCTCTTTTATTTCACAGGTGAAGAAGCTGAGCCCAAGAAAATTCCTTGCTGATTGTCCTTTCTTAGATTGAGGCCCAGAATCCAGGTCTTCTGTTTTCCCTCAAATGATGCTTTTTCCTTAGAAAATGTTTTAAAAGTCACATAATAATAATAGCAAACACTTAATGCTTGCTATGTGCTAGGCGTGCCTCACATTTATTTCACAAAATCCTTACAACAGCTCTCTGAGGTTGATTGTATTTTCCCCCCTCTTAACAGGTAAGGAAATTGAGACGTAGAAACACTAATTTGCCTAATTTCAAATGAGTAGGTATGAACCCAGGAAATCTGATTTAGAGCTTGGTCTCTTAACCATTACATTGTATGTACAGCTTCCATTTGTCCTGTAACTTAAGGATAAGAATGAAAACATGACATTTTTGTGCCAGAGAGATGAACAAGTGTTAATACTTTCTTGATCAGCTTTAAGGTCAAAGTTGAGGTGAGGCATCATTTAGCTTTAAAAAGCCCAAGCAAAAAATAAATTAGAAGTAGACTGGTTTGTCATTTCTCTAATAGCATTCTCTCTTAAGCTGTTCAGCCATCTCCAAGGGGTTCTTCCATTGACTCTGTCATGTGTTATGACTCTGTCATGACTCTGTGGGTAACTCGGTTGGCTGACTTGTGTTTAGTCACTTGTTGAATCATGCTTTTTAATATAGCTAGACTTTTTTCCATTGATATGAGTGAAGATTTCCCACAAATCTGTTAAATTAACTGAATGTTGAAAGCAGAACATACTTCAATATAGTACTATATATGTATATAGTGTATACCAAAAAGGGACTACTGGACCTCCTGGGATGAATGAATTTTTGCCCTTAGATGGATTAGCAGAATGGGCATTTGCCAGCCATGGATCAAAATAGTTCAGGATAAGCCATCCCTCACCATTTTCAGTATCAGAGATTAAACCCTTTGCTTAGCTGCTTCATTATTATCTACAGACAATTGTTTTGCCTGTTGTGTACATCTGGACTTTGGAGGGAAGCCACTGAATTGGATTTTGTATTCTTACAGAAACAGAACAATGCCTTTGTTTCTATTTAAAGAATAGCAGTAATTAGATAATAGCAGGGATGAATTATCCAGATCCACTTAGGAAATTTTGAGGTCACAGAAAATGATGACAAAGATCACTTATTTTCCTAGTAATTTCTTAAGAACTGTAATCTGATTGCCAGTTAAAATTGACAGAATTATTCATTTCAGGAGCTCCTGAAATGGATACACACACACATACATATAAATATTTTCACATACACATCTGAAGCGAAATGGTATAACTATAATTTTCTTATTTTAATTACAGAAATAGTATACTTGGTGTTCTTTTCATGGTAAATTATTGGAGAAATGATGATTGGAATCTGTGTATTTTTAAATATGACTCTGAGAAAACTTAAAAGGCACCCCAGTAGTTGAAGCATGATTACGAATGCTTTTCTAGTATGTATTTGTTACCGAATTGGGGAAATAATGTAACACATAAAATTCTAAATGGGAAGTTATTCTGGAGCTTCAGTTAGAAAATAAACCGAATCAGAAGCATCTAGCCCAATGAAATACAGAAGACCTGAAACTTTAATGTATTTTGTGCTGTTGTCAGTAGTTTTTGTCCGAAGCAGTCTTTTGTAAAGTAACACAGGGTTGAGAAAGTTAATTGAGAAAATAAAATACTCTATTTAGACTTTGGCTTAGAGTAGTAAAACAGCCTGTTTGTTGAATTCTCTCTCACCTTGTAATTAGAAACGTTGCTAATTTTTAGATTGTTTTCTCAAATTTTCTGTGCCTGATGGAAACAGTACTTAGGTAATAGATTTTTACACTTTTTATGACATTCATATCTAATTATTTTTGTTTTCTTTAAGAAAACATTCATTTCAGTTACCTTTATTTCATAGTGTAGTATTGCTCTAACATTTTATTTTATCTTTGATATTTTCTGTTTCTTTAGTCTTTTTTAGCGTATCCTCTCATGAGCTAACAATTATTACAAATGGGGAATAGTTTTGCCCTATGTCTTTCTTGAGCAGTGTGTACTTATTTCAGACATGTCAATGAATAAATAGGTTTTTAGTGTTCCTTTTTACACTTGAAACAAAATTTTCCAATAATTTGAAATTGTCATTCATGTCAATGGATATATGTATATATATATATGTACACACACACACACACACACACACACACATACATACATACACACACAATTATTTTTTTCCCTTTCAGACATGGAGTGTGGACCTCCAAGAATTAATGATAAATTAATGAGGTTCTTTGATCATTGTGAGAAGTTTTTAACTCAAGTGGAAAGGAATGCTACGGCTCTTTATCATGTAGAAGCCTTCAAAACTGGACCAGAAATGCAGAACATTTTAAAAAAAGTTGCAGGTATTTTGCAAGTGCCAGTCAACAACTTAAATGCAGGTAATGTGCCTATTATCTCTCATTTGAACTCTGAAATAGTTTAAGTGGTTTTTAAACTCTGAACATGGAAAAATATGGAAGCATAAAGTTATTCCTTTTAAAGGACCACAATTGATTTTATGTTGAGAAAATAATGTGTTCTAGGTCAAGAAAATTCTATATCTCATGCTTACTATTCTTAGATTCAGATTCTTCTTTGAGTTTTATGTAAATTAATACACAAGACTCTTGATGTATCCTGGAATTTTTGTTTGTTTGTTTTGAGGGCAAAGTTATATAAAGCTTCAACTCTAAGTATTACTTATAAAACAAAAATTATCTCTTTCTGAATTATCTCTTAAAGTGATACAAATGGAAAGTCATAAATTCTTTAGCTTTTAAAGCAGTTCAGAAGTACATGTTAATGTTTTGAGAGGGGTTAAGTTTTTAAAAAGTAGTGTGATTTTTTTTTTTTTCTTTGAAGCTTTTATACCTAGAGATGCTGAGAAAATGAGTAGTCATGTATGTCATAAGCTATTGCAGTGGATGGGTTGACTGCCACCTGGGACACTTTAGGGTGAAAGGAAACACTATTAATAATTATGCTGGGAGAGCATGTGGAAAACCAAGGTACATGGTTACCTAGCAATGAGAAATTAAGAAAAAATAATAAGATTTTTTTTTCCTTTTTTCTAGGAATGTATAATCCATACAGCAGATATTGACAGATATATAGAGTGTGATTTCATTATACTGTGAATAAATTTCCAAAGACTAGAAATAGGAGATATTGGGAATAAATTAAGTAGACTAGAATATGTCAATCCTGGTGTCTGAATGCTTTACAAGGATCAAAAAAGTGAAGATGCCTAGACTAGCATCTAAAGTTGAGTTTTTTCTCTTTTCTTCAACTGGCTATACGTTGGGGTCATTTGCAGAGCTTTAAAAATTATTTTATTTGGGAAATAATTCAAGTATATAGATAATAATAAAGGCTAATATAATGAGTATCTGTATACCCACAACTTAGTTTGATCAAATTTTAACATTATGCTTCACTTAGTTGCTTTAAATAAATTGAGGGTCCTTTGTCCCTCTCTAGGATCTCATTCCTTTCCTTTTCTCCCAGAGGTAACCATTGTCATGAATTGAGCATTTAAGTCATCCCATGCCGGTTTTTATATTTATGTTTCTATGCCTAAATGGGGCATTTTGCTGATTTTTAAACTTTTAGTAATGGTATCAAACTATGGTATCAGTCTGAAATTTGATTTTAATTCAACTTTGTATTTTTTATTTAATGTGTGTAATTCTAGTTCTGCATTTTAAACTTATGTACAGAATCCCATTATATAATACCAGCATCTAGCCATTATTCTGTTAGTGGGCATTTAAGATTGTTGAAGATTTTTTTAACAACACTATTTCTAGTCTCTGACTTGACAAAGATTATTTGTATTTTACTGATGGGGTAACTGAGAGCAACTTCTTTTTGGAGGCAATATTAGCATAGTGGTTAAAATCATGGCTCTGGAATTGGACTGTTTGGAATTCGGCTATTCGATTCTTGACTTTGTTATATTATTGACTAACTCTGTGATTTTTGGCAAGTTCCTTAATATCACTGTGCCATAGTTTCTTTCTCTGTAAAATGGATATAGGAATTGTACCTGCCTCACAGGATTATTGCAAGGATTATATGAGATTAATTCATGCAAAGCATTAGCTCAGTACCTGGCCCAGAGTAACTGTTCAAAAATATTTTAGCTATTTAAATACTTTTTTTTTTTTTTTTTTTGCATAGAAAGGTGATGCTGTATATATTTTCTGTAACTTATTTTTACTTAGCAATGTATCTGTCTCATTTTTTTAAATTCTATGTTATTTTTTAGGATATATATGATTACATTTTTAGGTAAATGATAGTTAAAAATTTATTTAACCCATCATCAAGTTTTACCAGTCAGAGAGGCTGGAGCTAATACAGTCCAAATTCTTTATTTTATAGGAAATTACATTCCTACTAAGGTTTTTCTTAGTTTTTAACTCTTTCAAATAACGCAACAGTGGATATTCTTATAGTCTGCTTTTTGCACTTGAGAGTTTATAAGATAAATAACTATAGGTAGAATTGTTGAGTTAAGGTGCATGAATATTTTACATCTTAACATATACTTCCAAATTGTTCTCTGAAGGTGTAGAAAATTTTATATCAACAATATGTGAGAATGCTCATTTCCCCCAATTCATCCAACAGTGGATATTATTAGTCATTTTTACTTTTGCCAATTTAATTAATGAAAAATGATATCTAGCTTTAATTTGCATTTCTTTGGTTACTTGTAAGGTTGAACATCTTTTCATATGCTTATTAGCTATTTCATTCCTTCTGACGATTGCCTCTTCATAACCTTGGCCATCTTCTATTGGATTATTTTTATGTTTTTTCTTATTGATCATAGGTACCCTTTATGTGTTATGGATGTATTAATTATATGTCCTTTGATATTGCTTGACAAAAGAATAAATCCTTTGCCTATTTTGTGTTGAGACCCAGGAAGCCTAGAGTGACTTACCCAGGATAATTAGTGTCAGAGTCAGGTCTCATAGTGTGATTTTTCCCTCTTTGTTTCTCTCCTTCTTGACCCTTTGCTTCACCTTTCTCCTGACTCCTCAGTCTGCCTTTTCTTTGTTCTTTACCTTTTGCAGTGTTCTCTTCTTTTTTATATCCTTCTCTGTACTTGCTTCTTCTTAATAGTTATAATGTGAATTGTGTAGTTAAAGGAACCGTTCAATAAATGTTCTTTGTCATTGCTGATTTTCAAGTTGGGGACTAAAACCTTTTATAACTTTATCTCCCCTCCTCTAATCCTCTAAAATTAACAAAATCAAGTTATGTTTTATATAGTAAGTCCTTGGCATTCTATAGATATTCAGCCTTTGGAAAATTGCAGGAAATAGTAACCTACAAATTTTACCTTTTTTTTCTCTCAGATTTAATTCAGGTAGCTTTTTTCACCTGTTCATTTGACCTGGCAATTAAAGGTGTTAAATCTCCTTGGTGTGATGTTTTTGACATAGATGATGCAAAGGTAAGTATTACTTTTGCAGTTTCTTTGCTTTTTTTTTTTTTTGCATGGTTCACATTGTTGTCTTTATTTGAAGCAGCTTTTCAAAATATAAGCAGAGTAGGGAACATTAAGTGCCTTTGACTATCTTGTAATTTTCCTGAAAAAGAGAGATTAATTTTTCAGATAGGACCTACCTACTTGTAAATAGTTTAGGTTCATAAAACTCTGGAAAACATTCTTCATTGTGATTTGATTTCTAGGTCCACCCAGTTAAAAACCTACTTAACCCATCATCAAATTTTACTGCTGGAAAGGATTATAGAGCTAATGTAATCCAAATTCTTCTTTTTATAGGAAGCCAAAGCTCAGAGAGGATGAATGGTTTTCCAAATACCTATTCTTTTATAAAGTTTTCATAATAAATAGAGTTCTGTTTTCTACCCAGTGATGGCAGTGATTCATCTTGGTTCTGCCTGGCTACTTTGTATTCCCTTTCTTTCCTCTTCATTCATGTTGTTTCTTTGTAGACTTTTAGACTCTAGAGAGAGAATGGCAGACAGACCTCTGGTGACTGTAAAGGAGGCAAATTCTGGTCAAATCTGGGATGCTGGGAGCCAGAGAGGTGGGGTAGGAAAGTGTTAATTGTTTTCTTAAGTATTGAGGATCAAGGCATTGGATAGAATTCTGATGGATGAGAGTAAGATGTATCTTTATATATGGGTCATTCAGAAATATGGACTTTAGAAACTAGTCATCCCTTGCATACATATGGAACTTTCAGCATTCTGTATGAAAATCAATTATTAACTTCAGAATTTAACCTCAAATTTTGAAAAGAAGTGTACTGTTTGTCAGTTAGAAGCAAGCTTTTAAGCTGAGAGCTAATGTACATTTGAAAGTAAAACAAGTGCTTTATTTCGTTAACTAAAGACTAAAGTGACCAACAACCAGATTAAAGGTGGTTTTTCTGTAGTATTATGCCAATGCAGAAGTAGGGCTTAGCCGGTAAGTTGGGAGAAGGGAAAAGAGCCCTCGATGGATGCTTGCTCTAGGATGCTGAGCGCCAGAAGTAATAGGTGTATGTATTTCCTCTCTGTGCTCCTGAATTGCTCCCTGATGATCTACTTTTTGTCTGTCTCAAGTACTCAAAACACTTCTCATCTCCTCTAAATGTCCATAACTATCACTTCAGAAACATCCTGGCCTACCCTTCTTTGAAATACTCTATGCTTAGGATGATCATAAAATTTATGTTCTAAATTGAATACTTTTATTTATTTTTTATAAATTTATTTATTTATTTTTAGCTGCATTGGGTCTTCGTTGCTGCGCACGGGGGCTACTAGTTGTGGCGAGCGGGGGCTACTCTTTGTTGTGGTGCACGGGCTTCTCATTGCAGTGGCTTCTTGTTGCGGAGCACAGGCTCTAGGCATGCAGGCTTCAGTAGTTGTGGCACGCGGGCTTCAGTAGTTGTGGCTCGCAGGCTCTAGAGCGCAGGCTCAGTAGTTGTGGTGCATGGGCTTAGTTGCTCCACGGCACGTGGGATCTTCCCGGCCCAGGGCTCGAACCCGTGTCCCCTGCACTGGCAGGTGGATTCTTAACCACTCCACCACTAGGGAAGCTCCTAAATTGAATACTTTTAAAAGTGAAACGGGAACCAGTAATAATTACACCAGTATAGGTATAAACTTATGGTCACCATTCACTTGTGTCAAAATTCCTCACCCCCCTTTTTCTCCCTACCCAGATTGCTGTAGGGGAAAAAGCTGATAAACAGAATTGAAGTGATTTTCAGTATTGTGTAAATGACTGAGGGGTGTTGGCAAAAGGGAAATTGACTTTTTAACAGAAGAACAACTTATTTGCCCAAGTTACTACAGTTGTTGGAATATTTGGCATATGCTTACCGGGCTATCTGCCCTTTTTGTATTCTGAGTAGCTATATCCATGTGGTCCCTTACTTCCAAAGACCGACAACTCTGTGCTTTTATTTCCATATCGTAAAAGATGGAACTATTAGGTGACTTAGATTCTGTGCTACTTGTTTTTCTTTTCCTTTTATTTTTAGGATTAGCCTTTTATCTCTTTATTGCATGTGAACTTCTCTTTTTTCCCCCCACAACTTATTTTGAAAAATTTCAAACTGACAGAAGTTGTAAGAATAACAGAGTGAACATTCATGTCCTTCACCTACATTCACCAGTTTTTAAACTTTTTTGCCACATTTGTTTTTCTTTCTTTATAATCTATTAGTTTCCTATTGCTGCTATAACAGATTACTGCAAACTTAGTGGTTTAAAGCAACACAAATTTATTATCTTACAGTTCTGGAAATCAGAAGTCCAAAATGAATTTTACAGGGCTAAAATCAAGGTATCAACAGGGGGCTGTGTTCTCTCTGGAGACTCTAGGGGAAAATCTGTTCCTTGCCCTTTCCAGTCTCCAGAGCCCATCTGCATTCCTTGTATCACTATGACCACGGCTTCATGGTTATATCTCCTACTGTGTCCTTCCTGCCTACTTCTTATAAGGATCTTTGTGATTATTGGGCCCATCTAGATAGTCTAGGATAATTTTCCATCTTAAGCTCCTTAACTTAATCACATTTGCAAATTCCCTTTTATCATGTAAGATAACATATTCATTGGTTGTAGGTCTTAGGATGTAGACATCTTTGAGGGACATTTATTCTGTCACATATATGTGTAATCTTTTTCTTTCTAAACGTCAAGACACTTCACCCTTAAATACTTGGGCATACATCTAAACAAGAACCTTCTCCTACATAATCATAATAAAATGTAAATTTACATATGCATATATAGTACAGTATTGTCTAATATACAGTGTAAATTTATAATAAATTTATAAATTTACATATGCATATAGTAAATTTATGAATATGCATAAATGTAAATTTACATATGCATATATAGTACAGTATTGTCTAATATACAGTCAGTATTCGTGTTTTCACACTTGTCTTAATAGAATCCTATATTTATAGCTTTTAAAACAAATTTTTTAAACATCTTTATTGGAGTATAATTGCTTTATTATGGTGTGTTAGTTTCTGCTTTATAACAAAGTGAATCAGCTATACATACACATATATCCCCATATCTCCTCCCTTTTGCGTCTCCCTCCCACTTTTTTTTATTTTTAAATTCAGGATCTAATCAAGGATCATTCATTGTATTTATTTGTCATGCCTTTAGTTGCCTTTAATCTAGAAGAGTGTTCCAGCCTTTCTTTTGTCTTTTATACACTGGCAATTTGCAGGCATCTAGGCCAGTTTTTTTGCAGAATGTCTTTGTGTCTGTTTTTTCACGTAAGATTAGATTGGGGTTTAAACATTTTTGACAAGAATACTATATAAGTATTCTTATATAGTGTGTCTAATCAGAAGGAATGATGTCAGTTTGTCACATCATTGATGATGATATATTTGATCATATGATTAAAGTGGCACCTTCCAGATTTCTCCATTGTGTAGATACCTTTAAACAACTTCTCATTTTGTTTTTGAACTTTATTTTTTATACAGCAGGTTCTTATTAGTTATCCATTTTATACATATTAGTGCACATATGTCAGTACCAGTCTCCCACTTCATCCCACCACCATCACCCCCCACCGCCGCTTTCAAAGAACTTCTCATTTAAATGACCGTGATTTGAAAATTTGAAATACATGTTTAAATTAATTGAATAAGAGACTTCCTTTTTATATAGTAAAAGCAAATAAGTTAGATTCTTCATTTAAAAAATATAAAGTTTTCTTTGTTTTTTTTTTTTTTTTTTTTTTTTTTTTGG